CAGAGATCTGCCTGCCTCTGCCTCCCGAGTGCTGGGATTAAAGGCGAGCGCCACCACCACCCCGCTGAAATTTATTTTTTTGAGGGGAGATTTCATTTACTATTTTATGGACTGCTAGAATGCATTTAGTATCATGAGTGCTTTTAGACAACATTCATGTTCAAATCTAAAACAGTGATGAATACATTTTTTGCAACATACAACCGTCTCTTTGTGTGTGTAAACCTGCAAGGAGGACAGAGGAAGACATCAGGTTTCTTGTGTCATTTCACACCTTGTTCTCTAGAGACAAATTCCAAGCCTTAAAATTACCTTCCCAGTCCTGCAGTGAATATTTGTTTGAGACAGGATCTTGCTTTGTATTACTGTCTGGCTTAAAGTGGATGTGTAGACGAGGCTGCTCTCAAACTCACAGAAATCCACCTGCCTCTACCTTCTGAGTGCTGGGATTAAAGGTTGGTGTCACCAATACCTGGCAAACCAATGAATATTTTATGCATCTTCTGTCTGCTGATCGATTAAATGTTTGTGTACTATTTTAAGTAAATAAAGTTTTTTTTGTAAATAAAGTAAATAAAGTTTTAATAAGTTTTGACCTATGGCAACATTTTAATGTCTAAAATATTTTTACTCTGTTGAGTAACTGATCTTTTTATTGATGGACATTCTTTACTTATTATAGACACTTTAAAAGGTTTCCATATGCATTTTATCCTTCATTATTAGTGAATAAATTTATTGATCATTAGTTTGATGTCATCAATCCATAGTGATTGAGCCCATAGAGAATTTAACCCAGGACCTTGAGAATGATAGACAAGTACTCTACTAGTGAGATATAGTTCTACTTGAAACATGCTGAACAAAAAAGAATAGTTTTCAAGTAATTTGTAACCAAAAGTGTAGCTTGCCATATTATATTCTAATAGTCAATTTCCTTTTGTCTTCACTAGATCAGAAGCAACTTAATTTGTTAGTAAAGCCATTAATGAGTTGTGATCTTCAAGGAATATTAATAGTTCTAGTAGAAAAGTGTTCTAATTACTATAATTAATGACATAAGCTTTGTTCTATGTTTTGTTTTCATATTTAAAAACAAAGTACTTAGTAGGTATATTGTAGGTGTTAGTCCAGTTTCTAGTGAGCTATGTTTTGTTAACTATTTGAATTATTTTATTGGTTTTTTTTTTCTTTTTTTAATCATTGCCCTACATATTGTTGAACCTGGAGCCCTCCCTACATATGACAAACATTTATTGAGTGATTAGCTGTGTGCTAAGCCCTTTCCATCTTTATCTTGCTGACCCTTTCTACCTTGTGACTGCTTATCAGGAACTTCTTTCTGGCCTTTGGAGACCATATTTTCAGTTTACTGTATTTTCATTACCAATTTTCTTCACTATTCTTTTCCTCTCTCAATTTTCTTTGGTTTTAAATATTATAAACTTTGGTTTCTTTCAGTTTCATGCTTTTTGTTTGAGACAAGGTTTCTCTGTCTCTTTCGAGCCTGTCCTGGAACTAGCTCTTGTTGATCAGGCTGGCCTCTAACTCACAGAGATCCGCCTGCTTCTGCCTCCCAAGTGCTGGGATTAAAGGTGTGAGCCACCACTGCCTGGCTTCAGTTTTATTTTTATTTTTATTTTATTCAATGTTTTGATTATATCGAGGACTCCTAGCAAACCTTTCTAAGCTTTAATTCAAGAAATTAAAAAGCAAATGTAATTTCCTGAAGTTTCCACAGGTCTTTTAATAGAGTTGGCTTTTATTTTGACTTAATACTTTTGCCTTCCTACAAGTTTCCAGTGTGGAAGCCTTGTGATTTTTAGATTATTTCCATGTCTACCAATTTTTCTGTCTGTGTATATCCCAAACTTAGTTGGCCTTCCTGTTGTAATAGTGGTCTGCTTTTTGCTCCCTGGTTGTTCTGTTTCAGAGTGTGTTCTGCGCTTGGAGCCTTCTTTCTAATTAGCCCAGAGTTTGTCTGAGTTCTAGCTGATTGTACCCTCCCTTTTGGGTGGCAGAGTAGAGTAACTAATTCATTCTTCACAGTTGTAGGTTTATATAATCATCATTATTATTATCATCTTGTTTAAGCTTACCTTATTTTGCATATGATAGAAGCCCACACTTTGAAGTAAAGTGTTCTGTTTGGCTTGCTCTTGACTTTTACATGGCTTCACCTTTAAAAATTAATGTAATCCTCCCCTGAATCCAGAAGCCCTCTTTGTTTATTCTAGCATGAGCCAAAGCAACCATCTTGTGCCTCCATTGGGATTGTATATTGAACACTTAATATTGAAGACTAGTAATTTCTTTTTTTAATTTGTTTATTACTACTGTTTGTGTGTGCCTTAATTTCTTGTCAACTTGACACATGCTAAAGTCATCTGGAAAGAAAGAAATTCAATTGAGAAAATGTTCCCATTAGATTGACCTGTGGGCAAGCATGAGGGGATTTTCTTTTTTTTTTTTTAAGATTTTATTTATTTATTATATATACAACATTCTGCCTCTGTGTATGCCCGCATGCCAGAAGAGGGTGCCAGATCTCGTTACAGATGACTGTGAGCCACCATGTAGTTGCTGGGAATTGAACTCAGAACCTCTGGAAGAGCAGCCAGTGCTCTTAACCACTGAGTCATCTCTCCAGCCCCGGGGATTTTCTTGATTAACGATTGATATGGAGGGACTGTGTGCATGATGTTATCCTGGTCAGGTGGTCCTGAGTTATATAAAAAAAATTAGACGGAGTAACCCATGGGTGCAAGCCAGTATGTTGAGGTCCCCCATGATTTGAGTTCCTGTCTTGACCTCCTTTGATGATGCAGTGTAAGCCAGAGGAACCCTTTTCTTCAAGTTCATTTTGGTTGGGGTATTTTTTATCACAATAATAGAAACCAAACAAAGACAATGCCTATGCATTATATGTGTTGGCATGTAGCCTATGTTCCAAATCTTGTGTCAAGGTCAGAGAACAACTTTATGGAATTGATTCTCTACGTCTACCTTTATTTGCATTATTACCGAGATCAAACTAAGGTTACCAAACTTTTGCAGCAAGTGCCTTTGCCCACTGAGCCATCTCACCAGCCCTTTTGTCTCTTTAGACAGGTTGTTATACAAAGTGAAAGAAGTCTTAAATGCCTAAAGTAATGGGATGTGTAATTTTAAAAAATACTTTCTTTTGGTATTTGTGTGTGTGTGGGGGGGTAGATATGTAGTATACACCTACTTGTGTTTAGGGGTACTTCTGTGTATGCAAAGGCCAGAGGAGAGTGTCACATACCTTTTTGTATCACTTCCTTTCTTATTCTTTTGCAGTGGGGTCTCACTAAATCAGGACCTCAACATTTTTTTCTGGCCAGTAAGCCCCAATGATCCTCTTTTTCTGTACACTCCAGTACTAACTGGAGTGTTTCAAAGGGTATGGGACCACACCTAGCTTACTGTATGGTTGCTGAGATCATAATTTCCTTAATTGTGTAACAATGCTTTTAACTCTCCAGCCTGGTTCTGAATATATATTCATTATATATTTATTAGTATATGTTGATATAATATATATTCATAATTAGATTAAAAATATTGCATGTAGGTTTGTGCATGTGAGTACAGGTGCCAAAGGAGACCAAAGGCATTGGCTCTCCCTGGAACAAGAATTACAGATAAGATTGTGAGTCACCTGACAGGCAAGAATCTAAACTTGGAAATTGTTCTCTACAAGATACATTTGTACTCATGGTACAAATAATGTACTTTTTTTTTTTTTCAAATAATGTACTTTTGATACAAAGGAAATGAATTGTTAGTGCCAAAAGCATTGATGCCAGAATTTAATGCCATTTGGCTTACATGTATGCTACTTTTTGCTTCCCCTGGCCGGAAATTTGTGTGCATATATTAACGTTTTGTCTTTTTATTTAAAATAAAATTTTAAGTGTATGGGTGTTTTGCACGCAGGTATGATTGTGTGTCAGATTTGTTCAGTGCTTGAGAAGGCCAGAAAAGGTGCCAGATCCGCTGAGACGGGAGTTAGAGATGGTTGTGAGACACAGTACAGGTGCTAGGTATAGAACTGGAGTCTTCTTGAAGAGCATCAAGTACTATTAACTCCTAAGCCATCTCTCCAGCTCCAGGGTTTTTATTTTTGTTTGATTTTCAAGACAGGGTTTCTCTGTGTATCCTGGCTAATCTGGAACTCGTTCTGTAGACCAGGCTGGTCTTGAATTCAGGGATTTGCCTTTTTTCTGTCCTGGGATTAAAGCAGTGCACCACTCCCACCAGGCCAACCCCAGATTTTGTCTTCTGAAAACATTTGGTCAGGAATTTTGATTTCTTATTTTACAGATTAGATTTGAGAATATTAGAATTATGACTAAATGTCATTATGTTCCTTTACTTAGCTACTTAGCTGAAAGAATTATTTTCTTGTTCTTAGGAACTACAAGGTCATCTGTCTGTCTGTCTGTCTGTCTGTCTATCTATCTATCTATCTATCTATCTATCTATCTATCTATCTATCTTGTTTTTGTGACAGGATTTCTCTGTAGTGTTGGAGCCTGCCCTGGAACTTGCGCTTATAGACCAGGCTGGCCTCAAACTCAAAGATATCGCCTGTGTCTGCCTCCCAAATGCTGGGATGAAAAGCATGCACAACCACCGCTCAGTCCCTCTCTATTTTTATATTTATTAATTTATTAGTTTTTGAGACAAGGTTGGTTTCTCTAGGTAGCTGTAGCTGTCCTGAAACTCACTATGTAGACCAGGCTGTCTTCGAACTCAGAAATTCCTTTGCCTCTGGAAGTAAAAGTGTTTTGTTTGTTTTTAAAGACATGGCCTAGAATTTGCCATGTAGCTCAAGTTGTCTTCAGACTCCTTTCTTCTCTGAGCCTCCAAATACTGGGATTATAAGTATATGCCCTCATCTGGCTATGAGAAGCTATGTTTTGAAAGTCTTTTCTTTCCTGGTTTCTTACCTATCTTCTGTTTCTGAATTCTAGTCACAGATATAGAGCTGAAACGACTCAAAGATGCCTTCAAGAGGACCTGTGGACTCTCATATTACATGAGTCAGCACTGCTTCATCAGGGAAGTGCTTGGGGATGGAGTGCCTCCTAAAGTTGCTGAGGTAATCTTTATGGTGCTTGGTTCCTCTCATAGTTCTGTACCAGTTTAAATTTCTTTTTCAAAGTATTTTTTTCAATTTTTTAATATTTATTTTTATGTGTATGGATGTTTTGTCTGCCTGTTCGCTATGCGCCATGTATGTGCAGTACACAGAGGAGAGTTTTGGATTGCTGTGAGCCACATGCAATTAATGTCAGAGAT